ACGGTCGTAACTAACTTACGTTATAGCATACATTATTACGAAGTTATACGAGGCCGTCGGGCGAGGCCGACGGTGCTCCTCCTCTCTCTCTCTCTCTCTCTCTCTCATTTTGCCCTCTCCCGCCTCGGTCCGCCTGCCTGCCTGCCAGCTGCTTGATTTCTCGCGGGTGGCTGGCTGCAGCCGTACGTGGTGCGCTTGTGCCTGGTCGGTCTCAGCTGTCGGGGGCCAGCGCCCTCGTTTGGCCTGGCCTGGCCTGGGGCTGGCCTGCCTGCCTCGCCTCGCCTGCTGCTTTGCTCGAGCCTGCGCCCGTGCTAGACAGCCAAACAGCCACCTAGCCTAAAAACGCAGCGCTCGCTCGAGGATCGACGGCGAGCATGAGGCGGCGCTGCTCCTCGTCGGCCCAAAGCCGAGGGCGGGAGAGACCACCGCCTGCCTGCCTGCCAGCTTCTCCGGAACCTCGACGTGCCTAAAGTGCTTCCGTCTCTGTCGCTTCAGATGGTTTCGTTACGTTTGGCCGCCTGCCTGGTTCAAAGCCCAGACAGGCGACAACGACGACGACGACGACAACGGCCTTGCTTGGAACGGTTGTAGGGGGCAGGCAGGCTGGCAGCGAGGCAGACACAGGTAGGCAGCCAGCCAGCCAGTCAGCCAGTCAGCCAGCCACACGGGGAGGCAGGCCAGCAGGATAGGCTAGGCTACGCTGGGCAAGGCCAGACCAGGGCTACGAGGCGGAGGGTCCCCGCCGAGGCAAAGCTTGCAAGGCAAGGCGGAAACTTCCAACTGGTTAACGAACGCTGCCTGCCTGCGTGGACTTCGCGAGAGGGGGTGATCCAGAGGCAGGCGAGAAGGGGCGGGCGCACGCGCGCGCTGCTCCTCCTGCGGCTCGGCGTCGTACTCCGCCAGCCGTCATGCTGTCGCTGCTGCTGGTGGTGGCCCCGAGTCGGTCCTCCTTTTTGGCTCAACCTCGTCGGGCCGCCTCAGAGTACGGCGCGGGACTGTGCGCTGCGTCGATGGAGATCCACCCGAGCCTGGTTGCGCTCGCTCCCAGTCCCGCAGCTCGCTCTTTCCTCGAGGTCGTATCGCAACGGCATCGCATCGCATAGCATCGCATCGCATCGCATCGTCGGCTGGCCTCGCCCGCCTTTGTCGGCCGGCCTCGTCCCTGAGCAGCGCTTGGCACATGCTAACTTACACCTCGGCGGCAAGGCAGGCAGGCAAGCACGCACCTGGCGGCGGCTCTTGCTCCTCGTCGGGCCAGGTTACGCATACACGCTGCTGCTAGCTGGGCTGCTCACCGTCGTTCCTAGCCCGCCCGAAATGCCCCTCCCTGCCTGCCTGCCTGGCTGGCCACGCCTCCGAGGATCGACATGGCATGACGCGCGGGGTGGCGTCCACGGTGCACCACCGACCGGACCGCACCAGCCAGGCGGGGATCCACACGCCGCGCCACGCCATCTCAGAGAGGCGTGGTGGGTCGACGATCGACGTTCGTCCGCTCGGTCCTCGTCGCTGTGGACCGCCCGCCGGAAGCCAGCCTGTGCCAACGAGGGAACGCAGCTGGCAAGGTGGCGAGGGGACCATCGCGCCCTTGGCTTGGTTCACCCTTCGGCCTGCCGCCGTACCCGCACCGCCGCACCGCCGCACCGTTCCCTTGCATCAACCACGCCCGACCGCCCGCCCGCCAGGCATAGCATAAAAGACCGGAGCGCATCTTTGACAACCGGTCGCTCACTACTGTACTCGCTCGGGCCAGAGCGGGAGCTGAAGCGGGCCGTTGCGCCAGCAGCAGAAGCCACGACCTAACCGCGGAGCGCCTTCCTGCCTGCCTGTCTGCCTTTTTGTAGCTTGGCCTCGACGTTCATCGTCGCCGTTGGCCGTTGGCCGTCGCTGTTGCTGTCGCGGCCCTGGCATCGATGGTATGGTCCCGTCACCTTCTTCCTCCCTCCTCCTCGAGAGGGGCTGAGATATTCACACGGCCTCGGTGTGGCTGGCGTCCCGTGCCGTGGGCCGGATGGTGGGTCTCGCAGATCCTCCACTCGACTGATGACGTGTCCGATCCCGTGTCGATGGCGACGATGGTGTTGGTACGACGATCCATGAACGGATCGTCGGTCCATCGATGCCGCTGTGGCTTCCCCGAGCGACAGGCCCAGCAGGTGCTTTGTCGGACAGAGTGCGGGCAGGCAGGCGGATCGAGATCCTCGAAACCCATCCAGCCACGCATTTGCGCACCTGGGCCTAGGCTTGCTGGAGGGTGCAACTCGGTCCGACCGTCGATCTCCATCCCCATAGTCTAGCCCGCACTGCGCCGCATCGCAACAAAAGGGCAACGACCTCAAGGCGTGGCGAGAGTGTAGTATACGTCGATGGACTCTGTCTATGACCAGGGAGAAGGGAGGAAGGGGATCGAGGGGCGAAGGAGGGAAAAGGAGGGACCAGACAACCAGCGAGCAGGCCAGGCCAGGCCAGGCCAACACGAGGACGCACGCTACGCCTCGCCATGCCTAGGCCGGGGGGAGAAGCACCTGACTCCAGCCAGCGGCTGCGACGCCGCCGTCGACGAGCGTTTTACCCCTGCCTCGGTCCCGCCGGCCGTTGCCTTGGCTTGCCTGCCACCCGTAACAACCTCGCATGCAAATGTAGCAGCAGCCGACAGCCAGGCAGGCAGCAGCGGAACCACCGACCAGAATCGACAGACCGGCCGATCAAACAAGCCAGACCGCCACCGGACCGAGCCGCCTCGCGCTCCGTCGTACGCTCTTGAGCGGTACCGTCTCCCACGCCGACCCACTTTGGCTGCCTTCGCCGCATAGCCAGGTCAAAGGGGTGCGAGATGGATCGGTACGAGCCGGCATCAGGCGCTGTGTCGCATCGTACGGTATCGCACCTCGTCGGCATCTGTCCGTCCATGAGGGACGAATGGGCCGACGCAGCCAACCCAAGACGGGCCGGACCTCTGCCGCATCATGCTGGGAGCCAGACCACGCTAGACCACGCCAGACCGCGCCACGCCACGTCGGGTGGAGCCAAAGAAGGCGGGAGGATATCATCAAGGTCATCAGGTTCGTCTAGCTTGTTTGTTTTGCTCCGCCCGGCCCCCGAATTGCATCGTACCCCGTCGCAGGGGGCAGCCTGCGTCCTGCCGAGATGCTCGCTCGTCGCCAGATGATGGCGGACCGACGAGCTCACACGTCGGCGCCCACGTCCTCCTCGCCGATGCCGACGGGCAGGTAGGACGGGTCGAGCAGCCTCTCCCTCGGCCACCGGTCCGTCGTCAGGTCCCGGACCGCCTCGCGCGTCGTCTTGACATTCATCTTGATATCGCCATCGCCGTCGCCGTCGCCGTCGAGCTCGTCGCCCGTCTGGCACCAGTACCGAGCGGCGGCACGGATCTCGCGGGGCACGCGCGAAGGCAGCACGACGACGTGCGCCGCGGGTCGGCCCGCCTCGTTGCCCGGTTGCGACTCCAGGTGCTCGGCCAGGCGGTCGGCCAGCATGCATCCGGCCAGGATCTTGACGCGCTGGTCCCGCGCGCGTCGCCCGACGACGACAAACAGCTCGCGGTTCGACAGGTTGAGCAGCGACACCTCGTCCTGCCGCTGCGCAGAGAGCAGGTCCATCTGGCCCAGGCAGTCCGGCTCGATGGCCGGGTGCAGCGTCAAGGTGCCCCGCTCCAGGCCCAGGTCAAACAGCTGCACGGCACCGCGCCACCCTCGAGCCGAGACGCTGCGTGCCAGGCCGTGGTACCACGCCGAGGCATACGCCTGGCTCCTGTCAAACAGATCCCAGAAGAAGCCGTCCTCCCGGCCCTCTTTGTTCTCGGCGATGCGGCCGCCGCACTTGCCCGTCGCCTCGACCTCGAGCGCCTCGGCAAAGCGGCGGGCAGCCTCGCGCGTCTTGCGCTCCGAGCCTCGGCCATGCCAGACCAGGCTGTTGCCGAGGATGGCCGCAACGAAACTGTCGCCAGAGCAGAGGTTCGACGTGGCCTGCGGAAGAGTCGGATCGAGGAAGACAGCATGACGCGCAAGGGTCAGTCTGGAGCCCCAGTCTCGCCTTCCGTGCGCCTGCGCGCGCACGTCGTCGGCCGCACTCACCAGATCAACCTGCGTGACCGTCGTCTGATCAGCTCCGGCGGGAGCAGCGGCGGCCGCCCGGACGCGGTAGAGGGCGGTGCCGTTGCTGTCGAACCGGGCGCGGCTGCCCTGGCGCGCGACGGCCCAGCGTCCGCCAATGCCGTCGACGAGATCGACGCCCTCGAAACCGGCCGGCACGAACGTCGGCTTGGTTCCGTACCTCTTGGCGAGCTCCTCGGCGCGATGCAGCACCTCGTCGCCCGAGTCGGACGCGGCGGCTGCCTGCTGCGCAGGGTGGAGCGGCGAGCGCAGGCCGAGCCGCACCCACACCCGGTTCTCCATCAGCCCGCTCGACGCCTTGAAGCGGTGCACGACGGCAAGCGTCTCGTCGTCGTACAGCGTCTCGAGGGGCGACACTCGCTGGTCCGAGGAGGATGCCCCGGCCGCAGGCTCCACCGCCTTGGTCGACCCGTCGGCGCCGATGCTGATGACGTCGATCGAGACGGTTTTGGGCTTCTGTTGGCTCGCCGCCGTCGACGGCGTCGGCGCGCCGTACTCGAGGATGGCGCCGGGCTCAAACGAGCTCGTCTTGAGCGCCTGCTCGGCCCTGAACGCCACGTTGGCGGCGTCCTCGGCCGTTTTGACATGGACCACCTCGTCGAGGTTGACCGGAGCCCTGGGCGCGGCCTTCTGCGGCGAGGGCACGCGCTGCGTCGGACCCTGCGCCGCCGACCTTTGCCGCGTCAGCCGCTCGTCACTCTCTCTCTGCCTCTGCTGGTGCCTCTGCTGCTCCTGCTCCCTCGCCTCCTGCTCGCGGTCGAGCTCTTCGAGGCGGCCCTCGAGCACCTGGCGGGCGCCCTCGACGATGATGACGTGCTCGACCTTGTGGATCTCGTCCTCAAGCTTGGCGAGGTCCCAGCCCTTTTGGATGACAATCTCGCGCACGATCAGGGGGCGACCGCGGTCGACGTCGGCGACGACCTCGTGCACCATGCAGCCCGTGCGGTCGGTGAGGCCCTGCTGGTAGGCCTCAAAGGCGCGCGGGATGGCATTGGCGCCGTCAAAGGCGCCCGGCAGCGCTGGGTGGAGGTTGATGATGGGCACCGCTTTCGAGGGGCGCACGCCGATCGTCGGCGTCGAGCTGGGAAGCGACGTCTTGTGGCCAAGGGCGTGGAGGAAGCCCTCGGACACGATGTGCATGAAGCCGGCCAGTACGATGAGGTCCGGCGGCGTCCCCTTGCCCTCGTCGGCGGGGCCATCGAGGACGGCACGGGCGAGGACGCGGTCGTACTCCTCGCGCGTGCCGCCGGGGTTGCGATTCTGCCAGGTCTTGAGCGCGAGCACCTTGGTCGGGATGGGCGGGTTCGACTCGCTCGCGCGCGTGAGGCCGTAGGCGGCCTTGCGGTTGGAGAGGACAAACGAGATCTGCGCGTCGGGGATGACCGGGATGCCCGGCGGCGGGTTGAGCAGCGTGGCGTCGATAAGCGACTGGAGGTTCGAGCCGGAGCCCGAGATGAGGACGTGGACCCGCTTGCCGCGCGTCGAACGGGGCGGCTTGGTCGGGGCGGCAGCCGTAGCCGCAGCTGCAGCCGCCGGGGCAGGGGCAGGGGCAGCGCTCTCGGTCGCCTTCCTGTCGGTCGACGCCGCTGCCACCGAGGAGCCAAAGATTGTCGTCTTGGTCGGGCTCCGAGGGCCGCCAGATGCCGGAGCAAAAGAGGTCTTGATGGGGCTGGACGGGACAGCCGCGGCCGACGTGGTACTGCCGCCAAACTTGGAGGCCAGCGCCTGCGTCTTGCTCGGGCTGCTGGGCGCGTCGAAGCCGGAGGTGACCTTGCGCGGGCTGCTGGGCACGGCAAAGGCCGAGGCGCCGGCACCTGAGCCGGACGCGGGCGGGACGACCTTGATTGCAGCCCGGGCCGACGACGCGGTGCTGGAAGCGGACCCGGTCGCTGCGGCAGCCGCGGCGGGACGCCTCTGGGGTCCGCGGACACGACCCTTGGTCAGCGGCTCGAGCACGCTGCCCTCGCTGGCCGCCGAGTCGATGCGCTCCTCCTTGGTCGGCGACGAGGCGGCGGCGCTGAAGCGCTTGAACGGGCTCGTCTCGCCGCCGAGGCCAGGGAGGCGGACGGGAGCAGCGCGCGAGTCGGCCTCGTCCTCGGCGTAGCGCTTCGAAGGCGAGCTGCCCAGGCCGGAGGTAGCGGCTGCAGCAGAAGACTTGGGTGGAGACCGGCCAGCCAGGCCGGGCAGGGCGTTGCCAAACTTGGACGGCGACCAGCCGCCGCCGCTGCCACTGCCGCCGAGCTGCTTCTTCCTCTCGTCGAGGATCGAGGGCGTGGACGCGTTGGATCCAGCGCCAGAGGCTCCGGCGGGCCACCTATCGCGCACGCCGCTCGAGCCGTGGGCGCTGCCGCCGTACTTGCTCAGGCCAGCCCCGACGCCGACGGCCGGGCTGGCGGCGGGACTGGCGGCCTCGGTCTCTCTCTGAGCCAGCACGTCGCGCTCCTGGGCCTCGCGGATCCTCTGGCCGACCATTTTCTTGGCGCTCAGGCGCGTCAGCGAAGCGGTCGGGTTGCGGTCGACGACGCCGCCCGACGGCGAGGGCGACAGCGGAGGCGTCGCGGAGAAGGTCGAGGACCGCTGGCTCTCCTGCGGAAGGGGCGGAGACGGCGGGAAGGCGCCGGACGTGGCAGCGGCCGGATAGGTCGAGGCTCGGTTGGTCAAGCCAGCGGTGCGGCCCGACCCAAGGGCAGGCGAAGCGGTGACCGTCTTGGCAAACGGCACATCCTCGGGCTTCAGCGGGCTGGTCGCGGCATCCTTGCGCGGGGACGTGTGGCTACCGTCGCCGGCCGCGCTCAGTCGGCTGCTCGCGGCGGGGATCTGTACGGCGGACGAGGTCGCCTTGGCGGGCGACGGAGGCGCCATGGCGCTTGCCGGCTTGAAGGGCGAGCGGGGTCGCATCACTTCGTCCGGCGAGGCGGCCGTCGTCGTGGGGCGCTCCCACGGCTTCGAAGGACTGGGCGGGCGCTGGATGGCGGAAGCGGCCGAGTCGGCATTCTGCCTCTCGATGAGGTCCATGTAGGCCTTGCGGGGCGAGGTCGACAGGCCGATCGAGGGCGAGGGCGGCGCGGCGACGTCGTCCCTGTCTCGGTCGGTGCGGTACGAGTTGGA